ACTGTACCCTCTGCAGTACAAGTTGACCCTCCTTGTGACTGATGAGTGACTTTATTTTTCTTGGTCTGGTGAATTCATGTTGAGGGAGTGTCTGGGAAGATTCTTTGCAGTTTCCTGACTAAAACATGATGGTGGATCTCTGCAAGGCTGTTGAGGCCATAACACACAAGTTAGTGAGACCTCAGCGTGCCCCTGGGGGTACTGACCTTTCAGAAGACATTGCTTTGTCTCCACTGTAACTTGCATTCCTCCTTCCCAATGGACAACCGGATTAACATCTTCACTTTTTAAATCTTTTTACCCAGAAGCCTCATGATTTATGCAATTAGTGGCTGAAGCTAGATCTATCAAGGTTCAAATCCTCTGTACAGCATTTGGAGTGACTTTGAGGATCATCATGATAACAGGGAACCCTTGCAGTGCATGTTCTTCGAACAAATATTTGCTTCCAATAGAGTCGAGTGTCCTTCCTGCTGCACTGCAGAAGACATTTTAGCATTGCTGAGCCCTCTTGCTTTACACTCTCCATCAGAATGAACTCCATGTTCAGTTTTTGCAGGCTACTACCTTTTGGACTGCCTTCTCCATTCAGCCAGATTTAGGGCCTTAAACTTTCTGCATTGATACAATCTCAACTTACACTCCCTCCACAAACAATACAAGCTTCTTGGGGGTTAGCAGACCTGATGACTTTAGTCCTGGCCTGCTTTACTTGACCTTTTGGCTCTTTTCTTAAAGACTGCTCATCCCTTCACTGCTCTAGTTCCTCATAAATTTCCTCTTGACTTTTCAAGAATGACAGTAGCATATCAAAGCGGTCTCTGAGTTTCTGTACCCTTCTTTTTAGCAACAAACATAGGCCATTCCTTCTTTAAGACATCAGGCAATTTGCTCTCCAAAGACCTTGTCATTAAAGGATTCCTCAAAGCCCCCACATTGGCCAATTCTTTTAAGTCATTTAAAGCCTTTTACCCCCAACCGTATAAGATCTACAATTTTCTTTGGCTGGTGACCTTTTACTGGGGGCAGTGCCTGAAGCTCCTCTACTTTTTCTAAGGCCATTGTTGGTTTATTACCAAAGCAATTTTCCAGCTTGCGGAAAATCTAATCTGGGGAGGGCAGGCGGTCTTAACTTAATAGCTGTTGGCTGGACTAGAGATGCCGCCGTTTGACTTTCATCTTCAGATTTTGCTTGTATCAAGGCAGCTTTTGCTGATAACAATTTGGCCAAACATTCCTCCATTTCCTTTATACGTCATTGAAGATCCCCTTTCTCCTTTGTTGGGGCCAAGAGACCTCACTGAAGATATGGTTATTTAGCCAAATTCACTTGGATATCCAGCTGACTTCACATGAAATCATATGCTTCCAACCTCACGACTGAAGAAGATGCAGACCTCTGACACTCTCCCTCTGCCAATTTTAAACAGGTAGTAAGCTCTGGATGTGAAAAGTTACTGCAAATATTTTAATGGATAACATCTTGCATCTCTTCTAGCCTTCTCTCACACCCCTTTGAAGCTTTTCTAATATCCTCAGACTGTTCATCAAGGTGAGGTCCCCTTTCTCATCCCTGGTCTCTGCATACGCAGCCTCAAGATCATTTGCATTAATGGCTTTGTCAGCCAAAGCAATCTTGCCAAAAATCAACTCTTCAAATGACATATTCCTACATGTTCTAATTATAGTATTGGCCAGTTCAGAAAACTGCCTTTTAGCTAAGGTCCTGCCTGTCTTGAGCTAGTGCAAACCCTTAGAATCTGTCATTTGCTTTGGGCTGCTGGAGCTTTAAGCTGCAGCACTGAAAAAAGGATTTTTTGGATCAGCTTAAAAACATTACTGTAGTTTGTTACACCTAAATTTATCTCTTTTTCTCAAACTAAGTTTCTGATGTGGTTGAAACTATACATTTTGATTTACTACAAATACATTTTTTACCTTAAGTCAAAGAAAGAAACAGCATTTATACCAAGTGAAACTATAATCTATAACAAAGACCATAAGCACATTTTATCCTTCATTAAAACCAATTTTTTTCAAGTTGGAAAACCCTTTTTTTCTCCATTACATATAAATATAGATTTACTTTGTAATAAACTGATTGAAATGCTGTAATTTTCTTACATGCATTTTTTTCCTCAACATTAATTTCTGAATCACCACAAAGAAACACGTAATGTCCTTTAGAAGCCAAAAGAAAAAGCCATCTGTATGAGGTAGAATCATGTGCCGTCAGGAAATAGAAAGGCATAACTTCAAAATAAAAGCCCCATAAATCTATTTGACATACTTCAAAATAAATCCAAAATTATTAGCAAAATAAACCACAGAAGACTCAGGAGACTTTTGGTGCAAAAAAAACAACAATGACAACAAACATAATATGTACAAAAACAAAAGGATATCTGAATGGTGTCAATTATAACTGGTGAATGATTAAGTCAGAGGCAAGGGGGTTTAACTGCAGTTTTTTTTTACATGACAACCACAATGGACTTGAATAACAAGTTAAAGTAATGCTTGGCTTATCCATTAACAATCACAGCAAAAGCTTTGTTTTCAGATACCTGATGCGCTGTGAAAATCGAGAGCCACCAAGTTATAAAAAAAATGGCCTGAATTGCTTCAAAAGTATACCTCATCTGCTTTGGTAAATCAAAGTTGAGGGCATAACGAACACCAAAGAGGTATGCCAAGGCAGTAGAGATATCTGGAAAGTTATGTAGCATGGTGTGCCCTTCCAACACAACTGCTTGATTTCACACTGATGCACCAGCACCATCATCTTATAGGATGGAGGTAATTTATTTTTGCCTTGCTTGTATATAGTCACAATGAAGCTGACAGTGTGCAGCTATAGTAATTCATGGCCCAGTTTAGGAGAATAATGAGGTATTTGTTTTATTATGTTTTTGTTTTTTTTTCAGGTTGTGTTTGTAACAATCCTTGAGTGTTTAAATGTTTCCAGGACAGGCTGGCAAAGTCTCATCCCTCTTTGTATTCAGTTTAACCCCTTGAACCCTACGGACCCACCGGCGGGTCCAGCTGCTACATGACCTTGTAGTTTTACCAAACTCCCAGTTTTGATGTAAAAAACATATTTGGCACAGTTTGGTGACATTTATGGATAAATGTGCCAAAATGGCCTCTCCGCCTAAGAAATTTCTCACTAATACCATTCTAAAATAAATATGATTCATCTGATTGAGTCCACATTTTGTATATTTTTACACAACATTTAGATTTGAAAGTCTGTACTACTTTTTTGTGCTATAAATAATATTTTGGTAGTGTTTTGCAATGTTTATTTCAAAGAAAATTTTGGCGAGGTTCAAAAATTGCAAAATATTTTGTATTTTGTCCCTAATATTTCAGGCAGGGTCAAAGCTACAATGGTGCTGACACCAGAAAACCATTCTATGACATCTTACCTTTACAGACGTACCAAAAGTTTCTTCTTAAATCTAATAGCTTTGAGGCTATAAGTTATTTACTTTTGTGTGTTTTTGTCAGGCAGAAATTTATTTATATCCCCTTAGGGTGTAAGAGGTTAAGACGTGAACTAATTGTCACACTTTCTATCAGATCTAGAATATCTGGAGAGAGAAATAAAATGAACAATAACTAATCCTAACAAAAAGAAGCTGCTTAATCAGTCACTTAATCTCTCTCTTTTTTTTTTTTTTTTTTTTTTTTTTTTTACCAGGGCTTGTCAATTAATTATAATATCCAAAAGGTTTTTTTCGTCTGTGCATGTATTTTTTCAATGCTGGACTATACTTTTTCCTTTACTGTCAGGAAGTTCACAAAACATATTTAAAGGTTTGCAGCCAGAGTTCTGGTGAAATTCAAATGAGATATGGTATATATATCCTATTTTCAGCTTTCCTTTTTTGATTCCCTGTTAAATCCTGAATAGAACTCAAAATCTTCCTTATGTATAAAGCCCTAAATAACCAAGCTCCTTCTTGTATCGGAGATCTGATAGTTCCATATGTTACTAAGAGAGCACTTCAACTTTAGTGTTTAAGTTTACAAGAGATTCTTAGAATTTCTAAAGTATTATGGGAGACAAATCCCTTAGTGCTCAATCTCCCCTTGTAGAACCAACCACCAGGCTACTTTTCATCATTCTGCTGCATTATACCGTATCTCTTTTCTCCAGTTCTTCAGTATTTGGTAGTTCAACCCCTAACATGATTCAGCCTCCATCATGTTTAACCATTGGGATGTTCAGGGTGATGTTTAGTGTTAGACTGGTCCTGTTCCTGTTTGGCTGTAACACCATCCTGGAGAGAAATATCAGCTGTGCTGGTGCCATCAACACCTTTGAATATACCTGATAGAGTTGGGTCAGCATTACAGACCCAACTCCTGTTTCTTTCCTTGACATAGCCATGGGATTCAGCTATTACTGTCACTAAACGGATGTGCTATCTTTCATTTCTTTTTGGCACAAAAGCTGGCTCAGAGCTTTTCTGCTCAACTTTTTCTTTCCTAGCTAGAGACACCAATAGAGCTCGTTTACCGCTACCTTTCAACAAATAAGCAGCAGAAGGTAAGAAATAACTGTTCCATATAAAGTGTGCTTGATTGGATCTCTGATATCTGATATCAAATGACCAATATTAGATCCAGTTATCAGATTGATGCATCTCTGCTGTTAATGTAAATGCAAGTTATATAGCTGGAGAATTACATTTGTGAGTGGAGAGAACATTAAAGGGCTCCATTCCACAGCACACCGGGACACTTCGGATTAAAAAAAAAATTTAAGCGGATCTTTAGTATTAAAAAACTAAGTTGAGTATATGTTTAATAGATTGATAGAGCAATGACTGTTACATTTTGGTTTATTGAGCAGCTTTCATTCATGATTTCTTTTCATTTACTTTTAATTCCCCTGTTTTCAATAAAAAAAAAAAAAAATAGTTTGCTTTCATATTGGAGACAAGCTGTTAGTTAAACATTGACTAAGCTTAACGTACTTCCTGTCCCACTGATAGGGGAAGGATTTAATTTCACTGCAGAGAAACAGGACATAGTCCACAGCAGGGCTACGCAACAGGCAGAAGAAAAGAACAATACAGCAACTACTTCACATGTAAGGTATGTAAAATTAAATGTAACAATGAAAATAAATGAAATCTAAATAAGTCTTTGTTTTCCTTAAATTTTTTTCCACAATTGAGGAGGTACACTTTTCCAGTGGAACAAGACAATAGACATTTAAAATAGGGACAAACAACTGCATTGTCTTTTTTCAAGTCAATTTTATATAATTGTCTTATATAAAGAGTAAAAATACTAATTAAATTGGCAGATCATCTTTTTAACCTACTCAAATTATGGGTAAATAGACTTAATTTCAGAAATGTTGACTTATTTCTAGATCGTTGTTGCTGTGAACTTTGTAAAATATAAGGAAAATTTAATAATCAACCCCAAAATATGTCAAACATCTTCAATATTTTTATTGTTATAATTTTTATTTGTCTTCAAAATTTCACTCAGGTGAACTCAGCCTTTAATGTTCTAAGCCTTCTAAGGACCTTTGCACAGTAGATTGACCGCTAGCTGCTCAAATGCAAATGAAGACCAACTGCCTGCCAACCAGTTGTTAGTGCTCTAAATGCAGTTATCTGTTCTCAGCATGCTTGCAATAATAGCATTTTAAGAGTGGGGCAGATGTACTCTAAGGCCACCACCTCTGTTTCTCTTCATATAAATTGCTTCTTTTGCACCTCTCTCCAAGCAGGATGAGAAAATCTTCATCTCTAAAGAGTGACCGCTCCATCTTGGCCTGATTATGTTGCTCCACTGTTCTGGGCCATTGTTTTGAGCAGCAGCTGCTTTATTTTCCCGATATATAACTGGTGACTGTCCTCCTGACACAATACCAGCTGATACAGCAAGAATCTGTGCCTTTGGGGTGAATCAGACGGATATCATAAACAAATGGAATGACACTGGTGTAATTTCGGGTCTGGGTTCCTCCCTGTTTGCTTTGAGGAAAGCCCAGATAGGATAACCAAATTGATCTAGGGTCCGCCTTGCGTGTGGTTTATCGTTCTCCCTAGCGAAAAGTTTCCTAAAATCCTTCATGTGTTCTTTTGTTTTAGGCTAACAGCTTCTGATCTCTGTTTGTAATGAAGTGTCATCATGGACTCTTCATCATCCTGTAAGTCTAATAGAAAATAATGAATACACTGTCTGTGATGATGGGATAATATGATGTGATGATAATGATAATATGCTTCTTTATGTCCAAATAACAGTTCTTCTCAATTATGTTGTTCAAACTTAGAAAAGGTTAATTGTCTCAAAAAAAACCTTTTCAAAACTTTTTCCTTTTGTTTCCACTAAATCATACTTTTTACCAAGCAAGAATTTCTTACTGTGTGTACCCACCTTATGCTCTAACTATAATTATATAATTCATGTTGTTCTCAACACTGGTTTCATCCATGGTGGTAATAAAAGATGAAAAATTTATTGGTTTACAATTTCTTGGAACCAAACTTTGCCCTCTGATAAAAGAGCAATATATGTGAATTATAATCTGTAAGAAAACTAGCTTTAGGACTTTGAATGAAGATGTGTTTTGGACCAATGTTTAATTGCGCTCGAAAAAAGTTTTCTTTTTATAATTAAGATTGTGTTATTAAACCCTAAGTAGAGTCTAGATGTATTTGTGACATTATTTATCTATGAATGATGCTTGTTTAAAGACATTATAGGATAAAACCTAAAACTGTTACAAGTGGCTCTAAAGATTTTTTTTTCTTAATTAAAAGCCTAAAACATTAATGCTGTAATCAAGTCCTAAGTCAAACAATTATCCCTCAGTTGTTCACCTTTTCATCTAATACTTTGTCTTTTAATACTGTTGTTAATTTTTCACCTTATCTTTGCAGCCACAACATCTGGACTGTTTCGCAGAGGTGGTATTGCCTTCCGTCCCCCTAAAAGTAGGTTGCAGAATTATTCTTTATTGTTTTTTAGGGGGAATAAAATCATAGAGATTGATTTTTTTTTAGGAGAAAGGGGTGATGAAGTTTTATTAAACAATACCAGAAATACAAAGCTTTGCAAAGACAACAAAATTAACTGGTTGTCAACATTTAACTGAGTCAAGCATGAATTCCATGTAAAACAAGGTTAAAAAGAAACAACAGGTTTTTTAAAGAACAATCCCCACTTCTTCTCATGGTTAATTCCTTTCTGGATCCTATCAGCAATCTACAGGTGGCCTTTTTTATTAGCTGCTCCTAAGGTATTGGTATAGCTCTTACTTTAGATCTCTGTATTTCACACATTAAAGTTGCAAATAGCATTAAATAAATTTTCATAGCTCCATTACATACTTGCTTAATTCCTGCAAAATATCCACAATATAATACTCACTTTCTTGATAAGGTAAATTAAATAAAAAAAGTACTTTTTTCAACAAGTAGTCCCAAAAAATGTAAAAGCCAACAGCACACAATAAATATATGGAAACACTTTTGTATGCAACACAAATGTGCTACTAGCATATAAATCATAAGTCACTGTAAGTGAAACTGACTCTTTAATCTATAGAAACCACTGAATTAGCAGAGTTGAACTTTTGAAAACATTGTATTTAAATTGTCTTAAATTAATAAATAAAAAAGAGACATAACAGCTATAAAGTATAGTTTATGAAGCCATCTATACCGACTAAATGTAAGGTGACATAAAACATTAAGTATCTCATTTTTTTATTTGACTCTAATTAAGAGAATTAATTAAAGATAATCCCAATGAGAAAATAAATAAATAATATTTAAATATTTTCAACATCAAATATCACACAACAAACAAATACTTAAAACTATAAATAAAAATAGAAAATAAAAATAACACATGCTTCTGAATCAGCCTTGGAAACCTTTAGTTTTGCAAGTAAAAGTTTAGTTGGAAGTAAAAGCACTTAGTGAATTAAGTTCAGTTAATTTCAAAGTACTTGAAGCAATTTCCAAGAAGATGGAGTTAGTTTTTTTGGTTTACTTCAAGCAACAGAGACATAAAGAAGCACCAAATAGTTTTAGCCAGTGATATGATTCACCATTCCTAAGTCCAGCTGCAGTACAGCACAGCATCCCAAATAAATACCCCAGTAAATAAAGTTTAAAGGTAACTCCATCAAACAGCAAAAAGGCCATCCAACCAGAATGGATCAACATTTTGCAGTTTGAAACGAATCACAAAGAAGATAAATACATTAAATAATCAAAGAGATGACGCAATGACATACCAACGATTTCTGTAATCCAACCCACAAAAGCAGCAGCAACAACAAGCTTTCCAACAGATTTATGAAAAACACAATTAAAAACGTGTTAAAAATGAAGGACATATTCATCAAAATGCTCAGATATATTCATATGTGTAAAGTTTCAAACTAAAAAGATCTTTTGAGGCCTCTTGAAAATATGAAATATATCAAGTTAGTTTTATTGTTATTAAGAACAAATTTCAAACTCAATAAATAAAAATGGAAAGCAACAAATGCTTTCTGCACATGTCCAATGGCCTGACTTGGAGGGGATCCAATAATTGATTGTGTCATTTGCATTCAATGAAAATGTGCTTTGGACATTTACTGGATGACTAATATAGATCCCTGCCACATCATGAACAGCTAAGTCAGAACAAATTCCATCATAATTAATAAATACAATTTTTTTTCCCAATTAATAGCTGACAAAATGTGATGAAAGGCTAATTCACTAAATTGTTTACAAGTGTTATATTATAGGTCTAACTGTTTTTCAAATGGCTGCAAAAACATAGTAATCACTTTTATGGAATAAATACAAAAAAACTCCCAAAGCTGAGAGTTTTAGAAGGAATTTAATGAGTATTGAATTTATCAAAGTGGACTTTGCAGGTCTCTTAAAATTTGGTCATGCTGATTAGTTTACAACCTGGGTCAGACGGACTGTTTTACAATTATTTTAAACCTTTGAGAAACTCCACTGAGGGAGTTGCAACTTATAAAATTATATGTGCCTTATCTTTTGTATTTCTGGTTTAAGAATTAAATGGTTTCCTACCTGGAAAAAAATCAATTAGGACTAAACTGTCTGAAACATTTTCCTTTGTTTTTTTCAGTGTCTGAGATGAGGCTCATTCTGCTGGGGAACAACTGGTCTGACAAGAGTTCGGTCACAAATTTATTACTGGGTACAAATAAGTGCAACAGAGAGGAAGAACCAAAAACCTCCATCACAGTCTCTGGAACAATTAGGACAACAAAAACGGTTGTAATAAACACTCCGGATCTGCTTTGCCCAATAATCTCTGAAGACAAACTTAAAGAACATGTGGAACATTGTGTGAGTCTCTGTGCTCCGGGACCTCATGTGTTTCTGTTGGTCGTTCAGCACAACTTCACTAACCAACAAAAGAAGAGACTTTATAAGATCCTTGAACTCTTCAGCGATGAAGCTTTTGACTATTCATTGGTACTGATCTCAACACCTGGATGGGAAACTTCAGCTACAAATTATCCGTCTCACCAGCGACCCCTGCAGGATCTCATCAAAATGTGTGGAGAGAACTGGGTCAGGCTGCAAAACAACCCTGAAGAGCTGCTGCTGAAACTGACTCAAATTTTGAGAATGAGCGCTGGGGACCATGTTGTCTGTGGTCGTCCAAGCCTTGAACCCGTTAAAGAAACTCATTCACATTTGGATTCTTCAAGCCACGGTATGCAAAAACACATTAACACCTTAAAGCAAATGCAGAAACTGAATCTTCAACAATTAAAGACTTTACTGCCAATTGCTGACATTCATTTTTATTTGTTTCTGATTCAACTTTCATTGGTTTGTTGCATGAAAAGCTGGATGAAATTCTGCAATGTAGAGAATAGCAAAAAAATCTTGACTGAAACATGACTGTCTAATATTTCCAAGTAGGGTCGGCTCAGCTTAGCAAAGTATTCAAGTATGTCTATACCGGTTTATCTGTGATTATACAACCTAGATACATTTTGTAAAGTGTCCTTCACTGCTAACCAGTCCAGGTTGCAAAGTTGGAGAGATCAGTTGGGGAATTGCCAACTGACACAGCAGATGCTTCGGGGAATTGCCAAGAATTTTGGAATATGTTAAATAAAAGTATGTAGGAGGCATAACAGGTCCAGAGCTCAAACCAGTGTATTGGGTTATAAAGATGAAATACTGGTAATCATTGAGGTGGATTAGATGAAAAGAATTGTACTCCAGCTAGCTAAGTACCCTACTTGTTGAACCAAGTCGTAGCATACACAAAGATCCTAGCTGATGAAAAGTAAGCCTTGTGATTCAAACCTTGCATTCAAACAGTGTGCAAAACTTATGACTTTGGATTTCACAAGAAAAGACACTAAATAGAAAATATGCTTTGATATAAAATATTCTATCATTCCTGAGACCAAGCTACCTGTGTGTGCACATGTGCTTGTATTTCATACATTGTAGGGACCATTTTCTGGAAAACAGCATGTTGTAGGGACTTACTGTGTTAGGCTTAGGATTAAGGTGTTAATTGAATTTAGGTGCGGTTTAGGGTTAAGTAAGGACCTCTTACGTTTATTTTTAAGTTTAGGATAAGGGTCACGGTTAGGCTGTAGAAATGGCTTAGAAATGAATGGAAGTCAAGGGAAAGTCCCTGCAAGGATTTAAAACTTCAATAACACTATATAAGATTTTACAGGAAATATAAGAAGGCAAAATCAATATAATCATAAAACTATATTCATAAAAAAAAGCTTGACTATGTTTTTGAGAAGGGGATATAAAACAGTATCTTATGCCATCTTATGACTTGAATGTCTTCAGACAAAAAATGTCTTGAGACGCTCCTAGACACTCATCGTAGGGTGATATGACCTCAAATCAGTAGCACGATAAAATTGGCAATTTTACCTCGATAATGATAAATGCACGATAAATGCTCCAGCTCCTCAATAAGAAATAAAGGCATGTGCAACAATTGAAACTAATCTTTTCATCATTTATATATTGAATAAATCATTACATATTACTTTTAATTAAAAATTAAAGTCTTGTACCCATTCAAATTTAAAGATTAAACAATTTCTAATGAAACAGGAGAAAAATGTTTCCTCTCTTGCAAACATTTTTGCGCAAAATTATTTGAGCCTTTTGCACGTTTTTCTAAGTCAACAACAGTGTGGCTGTGCTGTAGGCAGTGGAGGTTGGATGTGTTACTTTGGGTAGTCCCCACAGTTTTCAGAAAAAAACTTTGCATTTCACATTCTTTGGTCAACATCTATGGTGTAATTTCTGTGAACTGAGCGTGCAGTAATAACAATTTGCACACCCTCGCTCAAAACTGGTCTGCCTAGCACCTTACCCTTAGTAGTAAAAAATTTGATGATGTAAAATTAAATGTAAACTGTTTTCTTACAGAAGAACCAGAACAGTACAATGTTGAATGTGCTGCTGATGAAGATGGTAAGATTTTACTCTGTGAAAATTACAGAAATGATGAAAAATGCTGATTTATTACTTTCACAGCTGGATTATGACTTACAGTTTTTTTTTTTGTAGAAGATGATCTCAGAATCTTGCAGCGCATCAAAAGCACAGATTTTGATCGGCCAAACTGTGAGTTGAACATTTTCATACAATTTTCCATCTCAACATATTTGCAATTCTGAATTCACTTTTTACTATAATTTTACTGCTTAATAGACTGATTATTTATCTATGCTGTAGATTTTAGTCCGATGATTCAGACTGAAAAAAAAATTTTAGTATTCATTTTATAGGAAGTATAAGAGAAAAAATAAATTGTCAGTGAAATCTTATTGAGCTATACAAATCTTGCTTAATATAAATTTATTCATGATTAAATAAATCAGATCCTTAATTGAGGATATCTTTGTCCGTTTCTTTATCTAAACCACTCTCATCTCTCTCATCAATAATTCAGAATTCCTTCTTTCAGAAATCATTAGAACTAGCAGAATTACTACAGCATCAGTCTCTCTCCATTGGCTTCATGTTAATATATAACTGATTCTTATTTATGCATTTTATCTACTGATGTTTTAATGTAAAGAGAGAACAATAAAAGGCCACTCTAAGCAAAAAGGCAATTTACCTTGATTTAAAGCAACTTGGAGTTTCAGCACTTCTACAGTTTTCTGGGAATATGTTCTGCCTTAGAGAAAGACGAGAACTAAATGTTTGTTCTCCATACTAGGTTTATAGACTGAGAAGTCAGTAATGTATTTTGGTCTTAAGCCATTCAGAGATGTATGCCAAAATACATTTTCTGAGATTTGGGGAGCCAGTGGAAGGACTGTAAAAATAAAGTGATGTGCTCTAGTAAATGGAAGATAAAATAAGCTGCTCAATTACTTTAGTTTACAAAGGTGGTCATAATGATAATTAAAAATTGGGACTTTTAAGTAATACTTACAAGAATGAGAACAGTTCAAAATACCATAAAACCAGTCTCTCACTCCCCCCTCTTATGTTATAGAAAGAGATATTGCCAACTTTTCCACATCCAATGAAGGTGTCCTTGAAAAAAGTTGAACAACAGTAGAGAGGTTGAAAATCAGCCTAGGAGCCTACTTTGGAGAGGTCTTTAATTTTATCGGATGACATATAAGATTGAAACAATGATTTTAATATAAACAATTTATCTACAGAATTAAGGTTATTTTCAAACAAATACAATTATGTGCACATGTGCTTCATGGTATAAATCTATTTGAATTTATTACATTCCACAAGGTAAACATGCTACATGTAACGTGAACACTTGGTCTACTGAGATCCTTCCTCTATGTCTTTGCTTCAGCTGATACAACCCATCACTGTTCGTTATCCCTAAGCCTTTAGAATTTTTATTCCAGAAAGGGTTCTAAGGGGTTGTTATGGTGTGGGACAGGATTCACCGACCATCTCACTGTCTTCATCTCCAGGCCTGATGCTCTTCAACAGACAGGTGGACGACCTAGTAGCCGACATCGTCCATTAACTTCCTGTCGCCTGAATTTCACCAAAGCAAGCTACCCCTTAATAGTTGGAATATTGGCCGGTAGTTTATAGTGACCATTACAGGTCCCTCAGATGTTGTTTAAGTTTTGGCTATAGGTACCCATTAAAAGACCTCCTATCATATTCAATAGAATCCACATATATATAGCTGTTCACACCATAGAACACTTTCAGAAGGTAGAGAATCAGAATCTGATTACTTGTAACAAATTACTTTTGTTACAAGCTCCAGATAAACAAACATTTATATATATGTATATATATATATATACAACAAACCACAAAAGATAAAATAAACATAAATATATACACATATAACTCTTCTATATATAAATATATATATATATATGTATATATATGCATATGTATAACTATAAATCCAAAGATAAGTGATAGTGACGTGCAAAAACAATGCAAGGAATGAATAAATGTCAATTACGGAGGGGGCGTGTCTGAATCACTTGAGGAAGGCATTGTAGAGATTGATGACCACAGGCAGGAATGAAATGCAGACCATGAGTAGGCTGAAGTATAATGACCTTTTATTAGCAAGCAACAGACAGGAAATAACAGCACAATAGCAGCATATTCGAAATATAATATTAAAAATTTATAAAATTCTTCTTATGAAATCTCAAAATCCCTTTCAATTTAGTTTCTGTTTACCTGTCATATTAGGGATGGAAGGATGCTAAAACTGCGGGGATTTTTTTGGAACTTGCTCAAAGCGTAACCTTCCTAATGTCGGTTTGTGGTAAAAACTGTTCTTCAAAAGGATTATTATCTTACCAGCAGCCCTGAGACACCACCTTCTTCTAGCGGTTTGGTGTGAGTGTTAAAGTCATCTGAGGCTGACAGCAAAATGCCACGCCGTCTCTCTCCAGGCAGGAACAGCTCCAATAAAAGGTTGATTCCTTTTGCAACCTAGTTGCAACCAACAGCCATTAATTGGGATAATAACTTCCAAAGCGGCTGTCCAACTCAAATTTTCTCCCTTCCAGTCATTTTTCTCCTTTCTTTTTGCATCTTTGCTTTTTTTTTTTTTTTCATATGTGAGGAGCCGTTTATATCCCCCTCTTTAATGCACTGAGCCTCCTGCAGCTGCAGGGGGCAATAAGCACCACTCCAGTTAGTGTTTCTTTCAGCAGGTGCAAAGCTGGCAGCCTCTTTCCCCTGAAGAAGAATTATCTTCTAACGTGTAAACAAAAACAAAGACATCACCCCCATCTCTTATACTTCAGCATTTTAAAGATAACTTATCTTCAAAATTAAGTCAAATACAACAGTTACATGACAAATTAAAATAGCTGCATAATGATTTCATGCCATGGGTGCAAAGTGGCTTGTTTAAAGATGGAAGTAGGAAGGAGAACTTTATACCATTATAAATGTATAATGAGAACATTTCACGCAGTTTGTATGATATATTTGTTCTGATTCCAAATAAATATGCTTATTCTTGTAGTTCATAGCCAGCAATCACAGACCCACCTGTCTGGTATTGAGAACAATGAACCAGTCGGAAGCATCAAAGCCATCGTGTCAATGCTGCAAGGTAAGACATCTGGATGGGTGAGTATAATGATTTAATATGAGATATATTACTGCAGGCAAAATAAGTTGAACATGCCACCCTTTTTCCCCAGTAAATATATTTCTAGAGGTGCTATTGGCAAGACATTTTCATCAAATGTTAATAAAAAAAACTCCCAATTCACTCACATAAAGAAGTCAAACCATATTTGTCCAGAAGTTCAAAATTAGGTGAAAGTTCAAAATTACTTAAATGTATTTAATACTTTGTACAAAAGCCTTTAAGTAAGTAAGTAAGTAAACTTTATTTGTATATAAAGTTTGTTGGCAATGACAGCTTCAAGACGCCTCCTGTATTTAAAAATTTGTTGCTTGATTGCTCAGGTTTGATTTTGGCCCATTTTTCAACACGAACAGTCTTCAAACCTTGAAGGTTTCGTTGGCCTCTTCTATCAACTCTGATCTTTAGTTCTTTCTATAGATTTTCCTTTGTTTTAAGTCATGTGAGTAGCTGGGCAATTCAAGCAGCTTTATTTTCTTTTTCTGAAACACATTGAGAGTTTCCTTGTCTGTGTGTTGGAGGTCATTGTCTTGCTGAAATGTCCCCCCACGTTTCATCTTCATCATCCTGTAATATGGCAGCAGGTTTTTATCAAGAATGTCTCTGTACATTTTCCATTCATCCTTCCTTTAATTATTTGAAGTTTGCTAGAACCATATGCTGAAAAACAGCCCCACACCATGATGTTCCCACCTCCTAACTTCACTGTTGGTATGGTGTTTTTGAGGTGATGTGCAGTGCCATTTGACCTCCAATACGATGTGTATACCAGACTATATTCTCCCTGTATTTCAAAGGTTTGTCTAAATGTTCTTCAGCAAACTTTAAATAAGCTTTAACATGCTTTTCCTTCGTGTTGGAGTCTAACATGGTGAGCGTGCATAAAGGCCATGTCAGTTTAGTGCATTAGTTGTTGTTTTCTTTAAAACAATGGTACCTGCTAATTCCAGGTCTGGCTCTCCACAAGTGGTACTGTATTTGGGTCTTTGAGAAACTCTTCTGATAGTTCTTAACTCCTGTCTCAGAAATCTTACGAGGAGCACCTGGTCTTGGTCAGTTTATGGTGAAATTGCATTCTTTCCACTTCAGGATTATTGCCCCAACTGTGCTCACTGGGAAATTCAGAAGTTTAATTATCCTTCTGAAACCAATGGCATAAAAACATTGCAAAGCTCTTGAGAAAGCTCTTTACTTTTATGCATCATGAGATGTTTTTTGGGCGTTACAGAGACACCTCTTTATAGGAAGTCATTTGGGACTGAACCAGCTGATATTAATTTGCTGACAATGGGCAGGATTTTTTTCTGATTACTGAGCGATATTGACTGGTGTTTTGGCTTTCCATGTCTTTTTGCTCCTCCCTTTCTTCACGTGTTCAATATTTTGTCCATGGCTCTATGGTTTGATTTTTTTGTTCGTGTGGATTCATACCGACATCTGGTGAAGATGTCATGTCAACAGCACATCTAGAAATATATTTACTGAGAAAAATTGTGCCCTTTTCAATACTTATTTTACCTGCTGTATTTGAGATGAAATATATACCCACACTAAGGGAAGGGATTGAGGGTAATAGGGTTAGGTGATTAAAGGGGGGAAAAAAGTTTGTTGCAGTAACACCTTAAGACACTTTTTTGGTTTTGCAGAATCTGAGCTAAAGTTGCAGCAACCAGCCAAGCTTTCCTTTGGGGCCGACCAGAAGCCAGAACCAGGAAGCAACATTAAAATCATAAGGTCAAAATGGGAAGGTGAGATTTCTCAATTAGTAGGCCTAAAGATAGTGGTAAATGGCCGATACTTATACAGTGCTTTTCAGGTCAGGAGACTTGACCAAAGCGCTTAACACTTCATCAAGTCATTGACCCTGTCTGACACACACTGATGGTGCCAGACTACATTGTAGCCACAGCGGCCCTGGGGCTCACTGACAGAAGCATGAGCTTCTATATGATATAAAAACATTGTCTAATTGTTCAGTAGTCCAAGAGACTATTGGGATTTTTGGTTTATTTGGTCTGAAAACTTTCTCAAATTAATACAAAAAGGCTGATATTTTAGTTTGCCTTTAGAAACAGAGATAGAATAAAGTAACGTTCAACCTGAGAAAATAAACCGGTCAGATATCATCATGCAGGCAGTCATCAGCCTAAGACTCCTCCTTATTAGATTCCTTATTCCTTAGATTCCTCATTTTGTGTATTTGCAAAGTCATGATGAAGGGTTGGTTACCACCTTACTGACAGGTACAAGGATAACTAATCCATAAAGACTTTTTGATAGAAATTCTAATGAAAAGAACAGCAGTTGAGTTAATGAGAGAATAAACCTGAAAACATGTAGTTCAATCCCACTGAACTCATTCGGGGCGTTCTGATTAAAACACAAAAAATAATCAGACGTTTATTAGTAATTGGAATAAAAAGTCTGAACGAACAAAAATGTGACATATTAACGTGCTAATCATAATATTTTGAGAAGAGCTGGTCAGGGTATTTAGCCTGTCAGGGCAGAAAAACTTTATGTTGATGTTTGGTGCACATGCTCACCCAGTTAATCTTGATCCTATTAAACCTTGATGCATCCTGATCGGACTGTTAACCAGCATATACCACCCTTCCAGTTTGATTTCAATTGCATTCTGATCATCAGAATAATCTAACTCACATATTTAATCTGATCATCCATTTATTCTTATTATTTATGTCTATGCAAATGTGGCTAATGATCAAAATATCTAAATTACATAACTTATTGAATTGATACTATATATATGTGAAGTTTTATTTTTATACAAATAACACAGATAACTTTGTCTATATAATCTTAAGGTATCAATATTATAATCAATGCAGGAATAAAATTGGGCAGAAATACTAAACATCCCCCTGAATGATTGTCAGAGTATAACATCTGCCTTCAGTTTGGCTTCTAGGCTCTTAAAATTGTAAGTGCCATGACATTTAATCTGTGAGAATTCAATTTGCTGTATAAAGTAGAACCATTGATCTTTGAGCGGACACAATAGTTTCTAGAAATAAACCCTCACAAGACTCAAAGTCCTTTATATACCTGGTAGATTAGATTTCACTTTAATGTCTTTCAGTCTTATGACTGAAAGGGTTATAATGTTTAACAGCAGGCCAGCCTGACTCCTGACTTGCATCAGAGAGAAAATCTTTGGAGAGATTTAGAGAATAGGGTGATCTCAGGGTAGACACATAATATAAATTTATTTGAAAATGTAGTTATCATTTAATGCAATGTATTCATTATTATGTCTTTTTTTATACTGCACATAATTGGAAGTAAAAGTGCTAAGATGATATAAAACCATTTTTGTGCTCTCCTAGCCTCTCACCAGCAGCTGCCACCACAAATTCAGCTTTCTGTCCAGGAGAACAAGAAACCACAACCAGGCAGGCAGAATCCCTTCATGTCAAAGTTCGAAGGTACGATTTTTTAATTATCTTTCGAAAACTACCCACATAATTATACAATCAATTAGGAGGATTAATTACTCTTGTTTAGCTATACATGTCTTTCTGTTGCCAGATGTGTCTCTATATTTTTAGGAGGAAATAATATATCTTTTTAATCAAAATGATATTCTCTTTCTGTGCAATTGGACAATCCGTTACTGAGGAACTACAGGCCAATTTTAAATCTCCAATTCATCAGTCGTACTATTAGAAAATCAACCATTTCAAAGGCGCCCTTTCAGGTTTCTCACTACAGTTCAAAGACAGCTCTTATCATGGTGTTCAATGACATCACTATAAATGACTGTGAACCACAGTGCTGCCATTAGTGGACCATAGTTCAGTATTCACACTGCTGATCAGTGCAGTTTTTTAGAGGGCCTGGAGAACCGGGTCAGCCTTTCTGATACAGTATTGGACTGGTTTATATCCTACCTGTTGGACAGGTACTTTTCTGGGTCAGTAAGTAACTTTGCATCAGAGACCACAAAGGTTACATGTGGTGTTTCCTTAGGGTCTATTTTTGGGCCTCTCCTGTTCAATATTTACATGACCCCCTTGACTCGGATTATAATTAACATTTACATTATTTATCATAACAATGTAGACAACATCCAGCTCTACATTACAATGTCACCAGGTCACATTTATGTGCTGATTAAATACAGTGAAGAAATATATGCTTTGATATTTCAACATTTTCTAAACCTGAATTAAATTGAACCTAAAAAACAATATTAGGACCAAAAAAAAAAGGTTAAAAGACACAGCTTTAGTCATTAGGGTGAGAAACCACTGATGATGCTCGAAATCTGGGTGTAGTAAAGACTCTGTCATAAAACTTTGGAACAGCTTAAAGACAATCACAAGGTCGTCCCGCTATCCGCCTCCATATACCAAATCAGCAATATTAGGTAGCTGTTCCAATAACAAAATTATTCATTTATTTACAATGATAAAAAAGGATCAGCAGATAGGGGATACATTAAGCCAAGGTGTGTCTCTGCTTTAGTTTTGTTTGAAACCACCTCAATGAGAGAAGTTACTTACGATGGGCAGAGTAGCAAAACATTTTACTCAAATAAGATTAGTGATACTTTATCATATTTGTACTCTAGTTAAAGTAAAATGCTGTAAAACTAGTTACATTTACTACCAAGTTTATGTAACAGTTTAAAATTAACCACTTACTACCCACCTCTGTCGCCTATTTACTCTTTTAGAGAGAAAAATACATCTCCAATTCATGTTATATCAGATCTGACTGGGATTGGTGCTTCAACTGTAATTTCCCTCTGGGATTATTAAAGAATGTCTTATTCTGATTCTGAGGTAAACTGTAAAGTACGAGGACAGACGTAAGCATTGTCCAATTAAATTACCGAGGAGCATTAATGAAAAGAACAGGACATTTTCAACAGCTGAACAACACTGCCAAAAGTCACGGCCGGCGTTGTGAGTAGCATCACCACCGTCATTGTCTAAGCACAGTTTACTCAAATTAAGCAGGGCAACAACAACTGTTTTACTTTGCGACTCCAACAAAATAGAAAAGGGAAACAGTTACTTACAAGATAGATCAAATCAATTTCAAATGAATTACAGAAGGGTTTTAAATAAAAACCAGTCGTCGGCCACAATCCAAACAGGATGTTAGGGTCGATTGTTTGACGACCTGGAAGTGGGGTTGAGGGAGTCTCAGGAGAACAGGTTTTAAGTAAAAGATCACAAAAAATGATGATTGTTTTTTGTTTTTCATTGATAATTTTTGAAAAAGTACAGTTTAGCAGACAGTGAAGAGATTCTTACTTAACATTAGAATAAATGCACTGCCCTAGGACATTTGATATTTGAACATTATATTGCATACTGTTAAGGAAGAAAATATTCTAACATAGTTAACTTTGGAAAAAGGTTGGCTTTTCATTCTTCCTTTCCCAGGTCCACTCGGCGAGCTGCGTTTGGTAATAAAATCCAACATTGCGTGTTGACGTCACAGAATTACAGAGTTTAATCCAATATAAGACAATGCATAAACTTAGAAATAAGACAATGCACAAACCTACACCAGAAACTGCAGAACAACAGAGACATACATTCCATTACCTGACATAGAAGGAAAAAAGCAAAGATGTACAAAGACATCTTTGGAGAGTTGCAAGAATGTTGCAAATCTGATTTGTTAGTTCTATGTAGAAAGCTTTATCCTCTTGTATTTAATTTATTCACATAAGGCTGGCCCTTGGTCCTCCAACCAGAACCCATCTCTGACACTGCCTAGAGCTTCACCTAATTTACTGCAAACATCTGGGGTCATTTGCTTCTTTGTTTTAACAAGAAAAAGCGGAAAGCTTGTCCTGGCATCTAGAATTCTTAAAGTCATAAAACACAAGATAAGCTTTCACAGACAGCTTGTGGAATGCGGGGGGCCTCACCATAAATTCTCAGGAACAAACTTAAATTTAGTAATCTGGTTCAAGGAAAGGTTATCTTCACAAACTTGTTCAAAATAAGAAATATGTTCACAAGGAGAGTATACAACATACCTTTTACACATGCCATAAGATTAACTGTATTAAAGACTAAAAATAATAATTTTTCTTTAACAATACTGACCTCTTTTAGACATTAATACTTTTGCATTGAGATGGTAATATAAGGAGAGCCTCAGAGATCATCTGTGCAGTTTAAATTTTTATTTTTAAATGGTATTTTGGGGAAGAGAGACTCCTTTATTACAGATCTTCCTCCATGGATACAGGACCTCTATGCCCTCCCCTGTGCCATCCCCAGATCAAGGGAGAGCACAGTAAAGTCCCACCTGGTGAGATGGTCCCAAGAAGAAACCCCGTTGTCAGTCCACAAATCCCAGAATAACATTGATTACCATCATTGGCACCACCAGGTCGTAGACAGGGGTTGCCGCGGGCACCCTGTGCAAAGCCCTAGCCCACCCCACTGGCCACCCCGCTCGCCATTGTAAATTGTACTTCCATCAGTTTAACATTTCATCCCATTATGCACAGCCAACGACATAATATTAAAAATCATACAATAAACCAAGATATGAGGCGGTGTTTACTCAAGTCTTTATGATTTCTACAGGCAGGTTTACCACAAGAGTAGACTGAAACCTTGATTTATGGCTTTTAGATTTAGTGGCCACCCCAAGAATTTTGGAGGAGCTGTTGACCACCATGACCAAAGACCCTGTTGCAATGGAGTTATCACCAACTCCCACATTTCTTTTCAACCATTAAACAGCAATGACACAGTTTAGGGAGGCTAAACTAAAATAAATAAAACCACAACTGTACCTGTTTATCAGTAAAGTTGATGAATTGCGCTGTGACAGCATACTAGTGATGTAGGCTGTAAGTTATGAACGAGTGCCTTACAAAACCCCAGCTGCAGCGCCACCTGAAGGTGTTTTTTGTTCTGTAGTGTCTGAGCAGCAGCAGCAGCCTGAAGTTCCGGTGTCTGTCAGTGACGATGAAGACAGAGAAATTAACGGAAGCTGGGAAATGTTCATGTCATCATTAGAAGGTATGATTTCTACAGTTGTTAATATCCTGATTAAGTTTATAGACAATATGGTGCAAAGCTTTTCCCTCTTTATTGTATTAAAGAGTCAATATTATAAAAAGAACATGGAAACAGTGAACCTCTGTCCTTTGACAATTATTGTGTTTTTATGTAAAACTATATATTCCCATTGATAACAATGGCTCCCTTCGTTAAATTCCACATGCTTATGATATACAGCAACATAACAAAATTTACACTGTAAAAGCAAAATATACAGTATTTTTACCTTAACTTCATAGAGTAAAAGTCACATATTTCAAAGATTAATTACAAATAGCACAAGATATTTTAAACCTTTATTTCCTGTCATTTTGATGAGTTTGAATTAATTATACTAAATACCTAAAATTCAGATTTCATTTGATATGTTATTTGCACCCAGTGTAGTAACAGAAGCAACAACTGTGGTTTTCTGTGAGTAAGGAGATATGTTTAGTTTTTTTCTTTCCCTGTTTTTGGCGACCACAGAGGTCCTATCAGTTGTATGTTTGGACCATTGTTTATTTATTAACTAGATTAATATTTGGTTGAACTAAACATGTTTTATTCTTGTGCAAAAAAATTTTGAGAAATATTCACAAAAAATAAATATTAAGTTAATGCAGGAATTTACTGTCTTTTGCTAGGACTATCAACACTTTTTATTGAATTATGGATCAAGATTTAATTTATAAATTTATGAAAATTAAAGTTGTCTAGAATCACCTGATGGGTTAATTTCCTTGTAGATTATAGGCAAAGAGAAAAATAACTTGAAAATAGATCATATGATCGCTGGTGAAAATTCTCAGTCATTAAGGTCATATTCATTCCAAAAAAGTAAAAAAAAAAGAATTGAACTTTGTTTTCAGGTTTGAAGATGTTTCTTTTCCCATCCAGGAAACTTTTTCAATCCAAAATGTCAGAAATAGCGTTGAGTTCCAGGTTTTATCCAGCAGCCCAACAAAGCCTTGTTTTTGTTTAGAAAACATGCAAACTGAACTGGACAAACAGCTCCACCTCTTTGGAATGGAGGTCATTTTGGCTTCCTATGATTCCTTCCTAACTTAAAGAGGGCGTGAAGGAAGCCATCTATGTTAAGAAAGAATAACCAAGCTTAACTTTTCCCTTTAACGACCCCCCTTTCAGAGACCCGTCTGTCACATTCAGTTTGCATGTTTCTAACAAAAACAAGGTTTTGTTTTTGGTCCAATCTATAAAGCCTTGAACTAAATGCTTTTTCTGAAATTTAAATTGGAAAAGTTTCCTGGATGGGAAGCGAAATGTCTTCAGACTTTAACACAAAGTCCAAAGGATTGTTTTGTAACTTTTTTGGTAGGAACATATTATCCAATTTCTTTCTTTCTCTGCATACTTTAAATTTCCTGTCATTGTTTTCACAGGCGATGAACCAAACCCAGACAATATCAGAATTGTTCTGATAGGGAAGACTGGCAATGGGAAAAGCTCATCAGGAAACACCATTTTAGGAAGAAAAGAGTTTGACGCCAAATCAAGTCAAAACTCAGTTACAAAGCAATGCCTGAAGGAAAAGACTGAAGTAGACGGCCGCTCAGTTTTTGTTGTCGACACACCTGGTCTTTTTGACAACAGTTTGAGCCATGAAGAGATTAAGCATGAGTTGATGGGGTGTATTAATTTTGTTGCTCCAGGACCACATGTCTTCCTGCTGGTTATACGGATCGGTAGATTTACACCAGAGGACAAAGAGACATTAGAAATGATCAAGAAAATCTTTGGTAAGAATTCAGAAAAGTTCACCATCGTTCTTTTAACTGGAGGAGAGTTATTGGAGCAAGATGGCCTCTCCATTGAAGAATACATTAGACGGGAATGTGGAGATCCTTTCAAGCAGCTGATTGCTGACTGTGGAGGAAGGTACCATGTTTTTAAAAATCAGGATGTAGAAAACCGTACTCAGGTCAGAGAGCTGATCAGAAAGATTGACGCAGTGGTGAAGGAAAATGGAGGAAAGTGTTTCACCAATGAGATGCTGCAAGAGGCTGAGGCTGCCATACAGAAGAACATGAAGATTATTGCAAATGAAACACGTCACGAAATAAAGACAATGGTGGAAGAACTTGAAAGAAAACTTGCAGCTGAAAAACAGATCTGGAAAATAAAGCCTGGAACGGCTAAAACAGAAAATCTGCGACACGGAACATTACAGCAGGACGTGAAGAAAAAGATCAAGAGTGAAAATGAGCAGAAATATAGAGAGGAAGAAGAGAAAAGGAAGAAAGCTGAAGAAGAAATAAAAAAGACAAAGAATGAGCTGGTAACAGTGGAGAAAAATATACAATCAGGATTAAAAGGTCCAGTTGCTGAACGGGCCTTTGAGATAAAAAGACGAGAACTGGAAGGAAAACTAATCCTGATGGAGAAAGAACAGCGAGAGTCTTTGGAGAAGAAACGCAGGGAAGACAAACAGAGAAATCAGAGAAAGGAGAGTGAAACGAATAATCTCTCAGGGATTGAAGAAACTATTCGAAGAGAACTGGAGGAAGAGTATCAGAAAAAACTGGATAACATGAAAAAGAAATACATGGAGGAAGTTAGAAAAAAAGCAGAATTGAGAGGAATTATCAAATCCTTGGATCCTGTGCTACCGCTCCTTAAACACGTTGACAAAACATGCAAAGTCATGTAATAGTTAAACACTATGTAAAATCTGTATTATATCATTTTACATAAAAAAGACAGTAAATAAAAATAAGAGAAAACATAATCTCAATTCAATTTCAGTTCAGTTTATTTTTATACTGCCAATTTACAACACATGTAATCTTACTGCACTTTACAGATTCAATACTGTCAGATTAAATTAAATGTTTCTTTGAAGGAAAACCAGTTGATCCATAAAATCCTGAAAGTTTAGCTTCATGTTTGTTACAGACTGTTTCAGAGGAGTGTTCATCATTCTTCATCAAACATCTCAGACTCAAATCTGTGAAAAGTTGATCAGATGATAAATGATGATAAATGTGACTTTATTTCTTGTTCATAATATTCAAAATTGTTGAGTTAAAAACAGAAAAACTAAACTAAACTTGAACTAAAACACATAACACTGCTTATATCTATCAAACTCTTATAATTGCATTTTTAAAATGTGAAAAATAAAGACACTTGTGAGCATGTGGTAAATTAATGATCTCATTATTTTAAAGCCTTTTATCTGTATTTGTCCTCACTGAAGGACAGTAAGCCAAAAAGCTGCACCCTGTAAGAGATAACTGTGATTTGAGTTATCTCCCTCCGAAGCTGTGAAAAATGGGTCTGAAATAGACCTGCAGGGTGAATCATTTTTATCGCTGAGTCAGTGAAGAGTCCAGAGGTGGAAAAGACAAGAAAGAAGGACCAGCAGATACAAAGAGCCAAGAGTCATTACCTAATAAAGTCTAACTCTGTTGTACAATGTTGTTTTGTTTTCACCTTAATGTTCTTTCATCTGATTTCTGAACTGCCCCTTTTTCAGAAGAGGAGTAAAAATAACTTTTACATTACAATTACATATATCAGTACATTTTCAACAGAATGTGTCTGAGAATAAATAATTGTAGAACAGTATTTTTTAATTCTAATCCTCGAAGTACACTGCCCTGCATGCCTCTCTGCTTCAATAAAGCCCAATTAAAAAAGAATATACACTACCTTTCATCAAATCACGAAAACCACGCTCACATTCCAAAGTGACAGCCGGAAGTCCCGCCTCAATTAATATAAAATTAATATAAAGTTAATATAAAGTTAATATAAAATTAATATAAAATTTATATAAAATGAATATAAAATGTATATAAAAATTAACTATGTTATTTTAATAATGGTTATGAATAATAAAACAGCCGTAAGTCCGCCCTATCCCATCCCCCACTTCCGTCCACTTGCCCATCCCCCACATCAGCCCATCCCCCACTTCCGCTTCTCTCAACGTATAAGACCCTTCCTCCGACCTGCATAGTCATTGAATCCTTTCCAACATGGCTCCAGTAAGAAACAGGCTTTGCGCTATCATTTCTGAGACACCGGTCACGATCTTCAGCGATCAGACCAATTTTTGGCGTGCTCTGCAGACCCCCCGCAAGGGTACACTTTTTGTATGCAGAACTCAGATGCCTCCGACCCACGCTCTGCAAGAAGAATGGTCTCTGGAACCCTATGGTGCCAGCGGTAAATGGGGGTACGTTTTCAAGTATGAAACTGGGGATCTGTGTCTCTATCAGCGGGGTGAAGAAGCTGAGAAGCTGCAGACTATCCACTCAATGGGTGTCTTATCATCAAACGACTGGGCTGTTCTGAAACTCATCATGCTCCGTAGACTAGACCGCGAGGACCTGAATGTAGCAGGCCCTGTTGTTAGCCAAGGAGCAAAGGACAGAATCACGGATACACCCGATGCTAAGCGCAGCAAGCTCGAGCAACCCCTCCTGCACGAAACTGACATAGAATCAGGAAGTAGGATCTTCCCAGCTACTTGGCAGTCAAAGAGGGGGGTTGCAGGCCGATGGTTTTTTAAACACGCTAGTCTCAACGTGTTTAAGGATAATAAAGTATCGAGTTTCCGCGTGGATTTAGCCTTAAACACGTTGAGACTAGCGTTGGAGGGTAGCGTCAGATAAAATCCCTCATCCTCAGTTATGCGATCCATGTTGCATTGTCAGCCGTCTGGGAGCAGCGTTCTCTTTTATACATCTCGCAGGTCATCGGCTCTCACCCAGCTGTTGAATTTCTCCGGCCAATTTTTCCAACGTACTAAGACCTGTTGGACTCCCCGCACGGTGCGCTTCTTTAATATCTCTCCCACTTGATACATTTTGTTTTTTGACATTTTTAGTTTTTGAAGCTCCTCTGCGTAAAAAGAACCTCGAACCTGCTCTCCGTCTAAATCTTCCAGTTTGAATACCGGAGGAGATCGCTGTACCGTTTCTGTAACTTTAAAGATTTCATCCGTGAAACTCTGTTCATATTTCTTATCAAACACCCCACGCACCTTGGAGATTCTGACGTGGTCACCTTGCTTAAATGCTATCTTGCGTTTTGTGCATCGTTTAGAATTAGTCCCGTAAAGGTTCTGAAACACCTGAAAAGCGTTATCGGCGGTGACCTCCATAGGTGTCATTTTAATACTTGAATGATAGCAGTGGTTGTAACTTTTGACTAGGTCTTGAAGCACATCTAGATATCGGAGAGTGTTGTTTGCGGTGAAATACCTCCACATTCTTGATTTTAACGTACGGTTAAACCTCTCAACCACCGAAGCTTTTATTTCACTAGCCGTGGAAAAATGTTCAATACCGTTTTTGTTCATCAGAGCTTTGAATGATTTGTTAAAAAATTCTTTGCCGTCGTCAGTCTGAAGTTTCTTTGGAATCTGACTCTCTTCTAAAATGGATTGAAAAGCTTTTACGACATCGGAAGCAGTTTTCCTTTTTAAAACCCTGACATAGGCTCTTTTGGAGAATACGTCGATGACGGTTAATAAATAATTGTAGCCATCATTTTTTTCGGATAAGCTCTGCATATCACAAAGATCTGCTTGGAACTGCTTTAAAGGCCTGGTGACAAACACTCTATTTCTCGGAAATGTTATTCTTGCCGGTTTATGCAAAGAATAAGCATCCTGTTGTGATAAAAAGTCCTGCACCTTTTCAACCGGTATCCTCTTCCCCATTTCACTTTCCACAGCTTTGTGCAGCCTATTTACCCCACCAAAACTCCCTGGGTGGGCAGGCGTGTAATATACCCGTTTCATTAATTTCTTTTCAGCCATACCTTCCCACACACACGTAGTGATGCTTAATGAAAGAAAGGATGAATACGATAGGATTTTATAATTTTTTTTTTTTTTATTAACAATGTTAGAAAAGTAAAACACTAACATGAAAATACATTCATTATATCATAAGCTAATGTAGAAACTACTCATCCAATAGATAAAAAACATGAAAATACAATCATTATATCATAAGCTAATGTAGAAACTACTCATCCAATAGATAAAAAACACGAAAATACAATCATTATATCATAAGCTAATGTAGAAACTACTCATTTAATAGATAAAAGACATGAAAAAGAAAATGACTGCATGCTCTTATATATCAATACCCCCTCCAGTACTGCGTGGCGGCTTCAAGCTGATTTTTTATGTCGGGGCCTTGTTCATCCAGCTGATCCTGTAGATCATTGAGGGGGTCAGACGCCTGGTTGACCAACATCAATTCATACAAATAAGCTTGTGCTACAGCACTGACCGTGCTACTGTCTTGATGGATGTTGCGAGCGGCTAAAACTGCTGAATGGCATCAATGAACCTTGCATTGTAAAGTACTTGCATTACATGAGAGTAATTGCTTTCAAAGTACCTGTCCTCAAGCTCGTATGCACACTGATGCTCTCTCACACTCGGACGGTTATGGGAACATCCGTAGCATGAGTCCTGAATATACTTGTTGATCGCAGCGCTCAGCAGATAATGCACTACAGTTTTCACAGCTTTGATGAAGCCGAACCGTATCCAGCCGTCGTATTCATCCTGTCCGGTCTCACCCTCTCCTTGGCTCGTCGGAATCTGCGAATCAAGGGGTTGAGAAAAGTCCGGGGAGGGAGGATCTCCTTGGCCGGGGGGAAGCTGTGAGTCCTCGGATTGGGAAGGCTCCGGGGAGGGTGGAAACTGTGAATCTTCGTCCTGGATCACCGGGTTAGGTGGGAAGGGGAAGGGAAACTTGCCATCTTTGCAGTCCTTAGCCCGTAATACAAAGCGCTCCGGGCTGAGTTTCATACCCGGGGGACAAGACCAGTCGGATATGCGTTTCATCGCTGCGGCGTACAAATCCTCACTCCCGCTGTCGCTTTGGGAAGAGGAATCAAGAGCCGGCTGGGGTGATGGTAAAGGAGGGTGGTACGGTCCCGGGAAGAATTTGTCGCTGTCCGGGGACCCATGCTGCGGCGATGTTGAAGCGGTTGAAGAAGGCGATGGTGGAGCAGGAGAGCTATCCACATCGCAGGACGATGTACCGCAGCCCACGTCCTTCCTCATGGTTTCAGATGTTAGAAGTCTGTTCAACGAAGTTGCACGGAGTACTGATCAGCCCGCTTGGTTGCTCGTCTTATACTGGGTAGGGCGTGGTTAATGTTGAAGGGGTGGCATCGGCTGCTGTGAGGGGGTGGGTCTACAAAGAAAGCGCTTTCTTGACTCCCAGAATGTCTTTCCAGTTGCGACACTCGCGAAACAGTGTAGAAATTCGATCCGCTATTCCTGACATCTTATCAAGCCATGCATCAAAAGGAATGGCTAACAATGTCCTGAACACACCGCACTCAGTATTATAATACTCAAGCATAAAAATAATTGATTCATCTTGAGCCTTTCTGAGACTTGCGCGAAAAAACCATCGGCCTGTAACCCCCCTCTTTGACTGCCAAGTAGCTGAGAAGATCCTACTTCCTGATTCTATGTCAGTTTCGTGCAGGAGGAGTTGCTCGAGCTTGCTGCGCTTAGCATCGGGTGTATCCGTGATTCTGTCCTCTGCTCCTTGGCTAACAACAGGGCCTGCTACATTCAGGTCCTCGCGGTCTAGTCTACGGAGCATGATGAGTTTCAGAACAGCCCAGTCGTTTGATGATAAGACACCCATTGAGTGGATAGTCTGCAGCTTCTCAGCTTCTTCACCCCGCTGATAGAGACACAGATCCCCAGTTTCATACTTGAAAACGTACCCCCATTTACCGCTGGCACCATAGGGTTCCAGAGACCATTCTTCTTGCAGAGCGTGGGTCGGAGGCATCTGAGTTCTGCATACAAAAAGTGTACCCTTGCGGGGGGTCTGCAGAGCACGCCAAAAATTGGTCTGATCGCTGAAGATCGTGACCGGTGTCTCAGAAATGATAGCGCGAAGCCTGTTTCTTACTGGAGCCATGTTGGAAAGGATTCAATGACTATGCAGGTCGGAGGAAGGGTCTTATACGTTAAGAGAAGCGGAAGTGGGGGATGGGCTGATGGGGGGATGGGCAAGTGGACGGAAGTGGGGGATGGGATAGGGCGGGACTTACGGCTGTTTTATTATTCATAACCATTATTAAAATAACATAGTTAATTTTTATATACATTTTATATTAATTTTATATAAATTTTATATTAACTTTATATTAACTTTATATAAATTTTATATTAATTGAGGCGGGACTTCCGGCTGTCACTTTGGAATGTGGGTGTGGTTTTCGTGATTTGATGAAAGGTAGTGTATATTCTTTTTTATCTATATATCTAAATATATATATATAGATATATATATATATATATATCTATATGTAGATATATATATATATATATCTATACATATATATTTAGATATATAGATATATGGATCCTAGTCAGTGAGGCAGAGGGCCACATAGAAAGGCACAGGG